TAGTTCTAGGTTGTCCAAGGCCAAGATTTCAAGCCTGGTGTTGTAGGGTATTCTGTTGCCAGCAGAGGAGTGTAGTACTCTTGTGAAATATCTCTGGACTCGCTCAATTGTATTTAATGTCCAATATACAGTGCGAATTCCAGGTACCATACATGAGCTGTATTTGAGAATTGGTCTAGAAAAGGTTTTGTATGCCCTAGTTAGTAATACAATGTTGCCAGAGAAGAAGCTTTACAAATTAGGTTAACAACTCTTAATGCCTTTTTGGCAATGCTGTTACAGTGGGCTCTAGCATTTAAATTGTTTGATAGTTCTGGGAACTCTGGGTTGAGAAGGATTGGGGATCGGAGCAAAGCCTTAGCACTAAGATGGTATTTGATGGTTATAGAGGAATTCTCTTGGATGATAAAGGAATCGCTAATTGTTTTAATTTTTTAAAAGAATCAATACATATGCAATGTTTGGAACATGGAGTCCCAAAATTTGAGGTAAGATTTGTTGTTTCCCCCCTTAAGATTCCTTTCCATGTATTAGATTGTGCATTGAATCATTTTCGTTCATACTTGGATAAGATTGTGGTTCCACATTGAGTTGGTGGTTTTATGGGGTCTTACATTTCTGATATTTTAATATAAGCCAGCCCAGGAGTACTGTGTATTGGACAGCTATATCAATTTGTTTAGTACATTAATAAAGGATAATCATAACATTGATAAAAGCTTTTGATTCCGATGAATCTGTTCATAAATATAATTAAGAATGCATACATCTCATGATTGTATCATTTCTATGAATTGGTACTGTTGATAAAAGATTCAGAATTCTGCCACAAAATTTTTAACAATTAGATGTATATGCGGTACTGCCTCCTTCCCAGTGATTCTGGCAGTTTGCAAACTTTAAAACATTTAAAAATGCAAAACAATACAAAAAAAAGATGGCAGAGAAAGCAAACCTGGATGGGGACCATGGAAAATGCAAAATGGTGTAGGATGGGGACTGTTTGAATCTCAGGAACAATCTTGTTCCAGAGGGGAGGCAGTATTACAGAGATGTGCTCTCAGATATGGCATTTAATTGAAGGAATCTGGATCACCAGATTCACCACCAGATCAAACTATGTGCATAAAATATAATTTACTCTGGAACGTGGATGTTCAGGCTGTTTCCTTTCTTTTGGCCAGTTTTTCTATGGTGTTCAATGATTAAAATACTTTTGCTGTTCACATCATGATTTGCTGTGATTATGATCCATATAGATGAGGACACCATATTTTGTTTCAGTTTTGAGAATGTATATTTCAACCTTTATAAATATAATTTATACTATTTATGTATTCACAGTACTTTTTTTCTTGCTTTCAGGAAACAAGAAATTTATCTTGGAGGATAACCAGGTAACCATTGAAATATTTCTCAATACTGTAGTAGTAGAGAATAAAATAATTGATCCAATGGCGATAATGTTAAACTAAGCCACTATGTTGAGTAGACTGTACATTTTAATGGCGGTCTATAAAGGTGGGATTCGCATACTAGTCACTAAAATCAAGCTTATGCTATAGCTTTAGTTTGTTAGCTGCAACTAAACCAGTGAATTGTTGACAATTTTTTTGATTTTAGCAACTAAATAAAACAGTTCTGTGAGAACTCATAAACCTGTCCTCCTGAATACATATTATCAGATTGATCACACAGATGCAAAGGTTTTGTGTGAAATCAACTTTATTATTAAGTAGTATATGGTTGTATCACCTATAGAAAATTATTTTTTGTAATATTTGATGTACTATTCTGTATTTTGTGGCAATCTTTAGCTTTTGACAGATTCCCACATAGGAATTAATAATTAAAATGTTACATAAAATTGGGGTCATTCTCTACATTTATTGTCCCTTATCACCAAAAATTAAATTATATCTTACTTTAAAAACACCCCCTGTGGGTCAACATTAAAAACATAACTTAGAGATTGGTATGCAATCAAGTCTCATGCTTTTCAAAAACTGATTACATGTAAAATCTTTTATTTTGTTCCTTAGGTATGTTTTTAAAAGGCCAAATATTCATGTTGCGGATTTTTCATCAAAACATCTTTTTTTCATGTTGTAGAAAACAACTTTCATCTGATTTTTCCATCTCTTTTTAAAAACGTAACCTTTAATGGATCAGATTTCCAAGAGAAATGGGGAGATGAACTTCAACGTTTGTCAAAAGTATAGTATTCAATGTCTTGTATTTTACTGATTTTATTTATAATAAAAAATACCTTAATGTTGCCTTACGTGTTTTGATTTCTATACTGTATTATTAAAGGGGGATGCTGAATTTGTAAGTATTGTAATAGTGCTTACAATACTTTGTACAATACTCTTGGTGCAGGAGGATTGAGATGTTTATTTCAAGATATTTAAATATATAATTTCTATGTAATGTTACAATTTTAAATAAAAAATCCTTTACGGTGAAATGATCAGTCTTGACCAAACTTTGGAGTTACAGGGAAAAATGGTGGGTCATTGCTTAAAGAATAAGTATTACAGAGCTTCATCTTATCTATGTGATCACTAGAAGTCAAAAACCACTTGATGACAAGTAATAAATGGTACAGTTTTAACTTTTCTCATCTGATCTCTTATGGTTATGTTACTAAGTAGCTATAGAATTCAAGGCTATCTTTTCTAAATGGGTACCCCACTAGATGTTTTTACACTAAAAGCACCCATATTTCCCAGTTTTCCCCTATTTTAGCTGGGAATTATAACGTTAAAAATTACACACGTAGAGGATATCCAGTAAAGAATATTGCTTTAAACTTTTGCTTGAAAAATATTTCAGGATTTGTATGAATATTTTAGCACGGGTTCCCTCACCTCATGTAAATGGAAAATACTAACTGGTTTGCTGTTTTAAGATACATTGTTTAGCATTTAAAATTAGGAATGGCATGTTTTGGTTTTTTTTGCAGTGCTTTATGGCTATGTAGGTAGGCATCGATGGCAATATTTCTTTTATTTTTGTGATGTAAGGCATAGCTGACCTGTTAAATGAAAATATTTTACTTTATGTGGTTGACAAAATATCCCAAATATTTGCTTTTTTAGCAATTCTGTGCAATGGCTTAAGCCGAGAACAGGGCTAGTCATAGATTCTAGTCTATAACCTGTTCCAACCAAAAAGAAGCATGTCTGAACATGATGTGGGGATCCAGCATCAAGCAATAGCTTAGCACCGCCTAGAGTAGACTGCTATCTCTTTCTACAAGATGGTTTAGTGTGATGCTTGAACCTACCTAACAAGTTTCCTGAAACCAGGATTAATTAGAAATGCCTTCGCCCTGTTCATATCTGATGGCCAAGCTGGATGCCCACCATAAT